TTTTTGAGACAGAGTCTCGCTTTCTTGCCCAGGCTAGAGTGAGTGCCATGGCGTCAGCCTCGCTCACAGCAACCTCAGACTCCTGGGCTCAAGCAATCCTCCTGCCTCAGCCTCCCGAGTAGCTGGGACTACAGGCACGAGCCACCATGCCCGGCTGATTTTATATTATATATATTAGTTGGCCAATTAATTTCTTTCTATTTTTATGGTAGAGACGGGTCTCGCTCAGGCTGGTTTTGAACTCCTGACCTTGAGCAATCCGCCCGCCTCGCCTCCAGAGTGCTAGGATTACAGGCGTGACCACCGCGCGCCCATTTCAATACTTTTAAAGCCCTATTTAAAGGTTTCTTTCTAAAATCCTTGAACAAAAAGCAGTATACCAGTATTTTGTCCCTAGTTCGATACATTTAACTTATCCTGTCTATGTTTTCAATAATGTTGATTATATGTTTGCTCATATTTTTCCTTTGTAGTGAGATGAAATTATTGCAGGTTGTATGCAGGTGAGAGAATTATGTAGTATCACTTAAAATAAATCCAAATAATTTACTAGGAAAATATAAATTAACAAAATTGCCTCAGAGAAGAAGAGAATCCAAACAGACACTAACCGTGAAAGAAGAAATTGAGCAAGTATCTTAAAAGCACTAAACATAGATGGTTTCACAGGTGAATTATTTCAGTCTTAAAAGATAAGATCATTTTGATGGTAGTGAAACCGTTTCAAAGCATAGGAAAGATAAAAAGCTGCAGAATTGGCAAAAATAGCGATATCAAACCTTTCAAAGAGATACAAAGCAAATTATAGATTAATCTCACTTAGGCAGTGATCATAAAGAAATATTACAAATGGAATCTAGCAACACATCAAAAGAGTAATATAACATTATTAAGGCATGCAAGATTGATTTGGTTAGACATTGAGAAGTATAAATATTGGAAAGGATGTATTTAAGTTATAAGTATTTGCCTATGATATGATTGATTATGTAGAAAACTTACAATGTCAATTAGAAAATTATTAGAGACAGTAAAAGAATTCCTTAAGGTAGACATTTTCAAAGTTAATCTTCTAAAGTCTAAAGTCAATAGTTTTCTTTTATACAAATATAACATTTAGAAATAAATGTAATGGAAGAGGCCTATTTAAAATAGTACTCTCTCTAATATATATAGAAAAAAATTAGCTGGGCATGGTGGCACATGCCTGTAGTCCCAGCTACTCGGGAGGCTGAGGCAGGAGGATTGCCTGAGCCCAGGAGTTTGAGGTTGCTGTGAGCTAGGCTGATGCCACGGCACTCACTCTAGCCTGGGCAACAAAGTGAGACTCTGTCTCAAAATAATTAATTAATTAATTAATTTATATTTTCTTAATTTTTCATCTCTGTGTTAATGACCACTGTATTATTCTCAAGTCCAGATCACTCTTGAGCTTCAGGCCCTGTCCGGCTGCCCATCTCCGCTGTGTTGTGCCACAGATCTTTCTGTATATAACTGGACTATCTCCCCTTCTCTTCCTGTGAGCCACCATCCTTTCAGTTGTCCCAGCTAGAATTTGACATTATTCTCAACTCCTTTCTTTTTCTTCCTTTCTGTGTCTAGTTAATGACTAAGTCCTGTTGATTTTTCTTACTAAATAAGTCTCATTTTAGGTTATTCCTTCTTATTTGCTCTGACACTATTCTTATTTAGATTATCATTAACATCTCATGCCTAGGATGGTATAGCAGACCCCTAATTGGTCATCTTTCCTCCTGTTTCACCTTCTTTCAAACCCTTTCCTATAACTGACATACTGAGACAGAGTTGTCTTCCCAAAGCA